ATCGGGCCACGAGCCAGATGCAGCAAGCTGTGAGCAATGTTCGCAATCGCCACGTCAATGTGAGTCCAAACGACCTGGTACAGGAACTGCTCAACTCCAAGCGCCTGCTCGAGTCGCAGCGCGTGCATATGGCCCAGTTTGCCAGTGCTCTCAGCACCATCATGAGTGCCCGCTCCCAAGCCACCTGGCGCGAGCTCAAGCGCCTCTACGACCCCCTGGACCCGGATCGCGACTCGATTCAGCTGCGCCGACTCAATGCTGCCGAGCGTGCCCGCCACGAGCGCGAATTTCTTGCCCTCTTAAACAGCACCATTGATGCTGCCAACTTTGAAGTGCTGCCCCGCGGTCTGTGGTCGCTTCCTCAGCTGACCCCTGGCCTCCAGATGGAGTGCATCCCATCGCTGGACTCAACCCAATGTCCCTGCCCCCCCTTACTCCCCGCCACCGCAGGGGATGTGCTCGCGCAGCTCAAAGAAAAAGTGTCCGTGGAGGGCGTCAAAGTGTCTGTCGATCAGGTATGGCGCTTCCCACCGCACCTCTGCAGGGCTGACCACCAAAAAAAGAACACAGCGTGCTCCTCTTTGGCTCGCATTACCGACACCATTGTCATCAGCACCCCCTTAGTCATATCGAGCCCTGCCAACCTGACCTGATTTAGGATAAATACGAGTTTATTCGAGTATGGACAAGAGGGCGGGCCCGTACACAACAGGTGCACTGGACGCGCCGCGCGTCGAAACTCTTACGCTGGGCGCGGGGCCAACCCGACGTTCAAGATCTTCAACAGATCTACCCGCGCTGCCTCGTCGCGTGCAAGCAAAAGGACCAAATTAGCCTCAAAGTCTTTAAAAACGTTGAAGACGACAAACTCGAGCTGCTCCTGCCGGATATCAAGATTGACATGTCCAATTTTGACCGTAACATGCTCTATGGCACTCTGGCCGTCACGACCGTGACCTTTTTGATGCGCATGAATGCCTCCTTTCAAGATAACCTGGCCTTGGGTCCCGTCAAGGGAGGATTGGCTGCCATTATCATTACCGCCGGTTTCCTTGGCTACCGTCTTTGGGACGGTGTCTCGAATAACCGGCACCGCTACCTGGCCCGCTACCACAAAACGCTGTATTTTCAAAACGTCGCCAGTAACCGCAGCGCACTCGCCCTGCTCATTGATCGGGCCGCCGAGGAAGAATTTGCCGAAACACTCTTGGCCTACTTTGCCCTCGTCACCTCCCCGGGATCACTGACTCATCGTGGGCTTGCCGTGGTGGTTGAAGATCAACTGCTGCGTGACATCTTTGGCGTCCATGTGCAATTTGACACGGAAGATGCAGTCCGCAAGCTCCACGAGCTCAACCTGATTGCCAACACCACCCGTCACTCTCACTTTGGCGTCGAAGCTATCTCCGCCATTCCTCTCCCACAAGCTGCGCAAGCCATGCAGTCCATGACGGCTCGTGACATGCGGGCCCTGCGCTAGCGACACACGCAACAGGCCCGCGGGGCAAGGCAAGACGCTTGGCTTTAAGCTTGGCACTATAAGCAGAGTTTCGTCGCACTCCGTGGCGTGCACCCGGCGGCTTGACTGGATGTGTGTGCCTCACCCTTATTTTTTTTTTTTTTGTTTGTTTGTTTGTTTTTTTCGGCGTGTTCGTTTTTGTTTTTTGTTTGGCTGTTTGTTTTGACACCGACAGCGCAGCTGAGTGCGCATTACGACCATACCGGCACGTAAATTGATGCTTTTGAAGGATTAATCACACCTTGACCGAGCGTTGCCTCGACTCTAATGAGTTTATAAGGCCGGGCTGCTCATGTCGCGCACACAGCGCAGGTAGCTGTCAGACCCCAAACCCACGTCGATGGGCAAAGTGCTTGCGGGCAGTGCGCGATGATGACTGGTATCGAGCGAAACTTGAATCTTGGACACGGGGTGCGAGCCATGGGCACGGGGCCAGTAGCGCCGAAACTCGTCTCCACGCCAAGCTTGCGCGTCAATCTCAAACTTCTTCAAGGCATGCTGCTCGTGCACGGTTCGCGGCACCGTGAGCACCACGCGACGAAGCGTTTCGAGGTGCAGCGACTGAAGCGTAAAGACGTCCATGCTGTACAGGACGTAGTCGCACCAACGGAGCCACTCATTCAGGTTTAGGGACAAGGTCTCGGGTGGAGGCCCGGAGGGAGCAGAGGCGGATGCGGTGCCTGCTGACTGGCCAACATCAGTCTGGCCCACGTTGTCATATAGAAAGCCAAGCGTGGCCAGCGAGAAGGCTGGGCGCTCGCTAAAGTGAGGATACAAATAGCCCTGCACAAAAGCTGAGACACTGAGGCTACACTTGCCAGGACAAGCCTGAAAGCGATTGGGGTCCAACTCCTTGCAACAGCGCACAAAGTAGGCCTGCGCATCCTGCAAGAGCTGCAGGCTTTGATTCTGCCCGTGATGTGCAGGGCCATTGAGCGCAAGTTCGCGTGCCAACTGGTACTCCTCGTAGCCTGGCGCCTCGGGGTTGGGGCTGGTAGCCGAGAAGTCATAAGGCGGAGCCTCCAGGGTGGCCACCACGAGCTGAGCCATGGAGCGCGGTGTACTGAACTCAAGTCCACGCTGGTCCTGCTCGTGTTCCCGAACCTCCTGCTGGGCATGCTTGCTGAGGTTGTCGCCAAATTGAGGGTCGCTAAAGAGCGGGTATTGCCCAAAAATCTCGATACAGCGAGTGAGATAATCGGCCGGCGGGCTCAGCTCGGTGATGCGCACGGGTGGCTGAAGACCAAAAAAGCTCGCCGCTGTCATTTGATCTAAAGCATCATGCTGGCCATCGCCGTTCCAATCCACGTCCTGGTCATATCCTGTACCACCAGCAATGTTGCCAAATGCAAATGGCGCGTCTAGGGCTGCACTGCCATAGACCACCTGTCGTACTGGTACTCTCTGCTCGATGGTGAGGCGTGTCACTTGGCGCGCGGCTGGGAGGATGGCAGGCAGGTTATAGCGCGTGACGTCTGTGTTGCCAAGGCGCATGAGGTTGGCCAGTAGCACGGTGGAGCTGGCATGGCCCACGGCCGCGCCCTCGGCCGCGGCACTGCACCAAACGCCGTCGGCACCACCAGCAACAGCATACAACTGGGCCAGGTCGGCCATGCCCCATTGCTCGTGCACGTGGGCAAGAAGAAGGCCATCATAGGCGCGAGGCTGGGCTTGCCAGCCGCTATGCCAGCCGTTGCAGTCCATGGTCTCGCGTAGCTTCTGGGTCAGGAGCTCGAGATCGGCGGGAGGGTACGCACCAATGGGGTCCTCGAACATGAGACCGATTGGCCGGCGACTGGATTCGAGGCATGCAACGAGGGCCACGAAAGCCAGCACGCGCTGGGGGCAACGATGCATGGCCACGGGGAAGTCGCGCAGATTGAGCATGACCAGCGTGGAGGGGGCCATGTGACGAAAGACGACGTTATCGAGCAGGTTGAGGAGCTGGCTCAGATAGTGGCGGGCAATGATGCTCTCAGACTCGTTGGGCCCTGTTCCTTCTGAGAACTCGGACGGGTGTGCGTGTCGGTAGGCGTCGGTGCGAATGGCGCCCAGGTCAATCTCAATAATAATGTTGCGCACGTGGTACTTCTCCAGCTTAGCCAAGGTGCTGGAAACGTGATCACCGTACCGGTCCTCCGCGCCCAGGGTCATGGTACCATCAGGTGCAATGGCATCGGCCAAATCGCAAAAGGCAAAGCAACGCGAGAGCGGGTTTTCTTCCATGACTGGGGCTAGGTGGGAGGTTTGGGCATTGCTCAAGCTGTCGCTGGCAGACTGCACAACGGGTAGTTGTGTGAGCTGCGTAGAGGTATCGGAGTGGGCGCTTGGATTGGAGCCCGCGCGAGCCGTGAGAGCGGGAGTAGTTGGAGAAGGGCGTTCGCGATGATGGTAAGTGTCGAAGAGCCATGCGAGCCAATCATCCTCCACACGCCAATCATGGCCCAATGCAGCGACAATGAAGAGGTCAAAACCACAGGCCTGGGACCAGCGGAAAATCTTCTTCTTGTCGGGAAGCGTGTGACCGTGAATCGAGCCGACCACAGTCTCGCGGAGCGAGTTGTCGGCAATCAGAATATTGCGCTTCCGCAATATATTGGACAGGCGTTTGGCCTCTTGTGGTGGCACAAAGTCGGGCACCTGAATGGACGACGCTGTCAGGATGGCATCCCCGCACAACAAGTGAGTTGGCGGTTCGCATGCAATCTCCTCGGGGGAAAGGAGATGGCGGGATAGCCACTCGGAAAGCCAGAATGGAAAAGGGATGGGTCAGCCCACACACACACACACACACACACACACACACACACACACACATCTCGAGTCAGAATCACAACGTACCTTCGGGAATCATCGAGGCTCGACGTTTGGCATATTTGGCGCGAGGCGCGGTGCTTCTCCCCTCGGGATCGGCCTCATCCAAAGCCGCTCGTTTGCCGCTCGTTGCCATCCTGTCCTGTGCGATACAAGATCAAACCCCGCCCCGGCCCCGATGAATCGAATCGATCGCGATCGTAAGAACACAGATCGCAAATGTCTTTGGACAGTCTGGCAGCAAGAAAAGAGGGGTGCAGCTGGCACGGAACCGCTTCTTCATACACCACTCCCTACAACCTCACCCCCCAGCCCTTACCTGACTCTTCTCAAAGCGAGCTCCACACTCTGATTGATCAACACTGCAACTCGTCCAACCCTAGATCGTCGAGTGTCTTCTGTCAGCCACTGGTGTGTGTGCGCGCTTTGGTGGGCGGATGATCCGGAAAAGTGGACCCAAACGTCCTGTTGAGTCAACCTGACGTCAAAGGCTGCTGGCCTTGACCATTATACCGTCGGTAGGATCGGCAGCATCCCCGCTGCTATAGCCATCAGAACTTGAACCTCTGGCCTTTGATTTGCCTCCCCACCTGGCTTGCTCCGCCCCGACTGCCATTTCGCGCCCTACCAAACTAGCCGTTACATATTCGAGGGCTGTATTTTAGAATGTTACACTCCCAAATACCACAACGTCCAAAACTACCACACATTCGATTTCTTGTCCTTCTCCCACACACGATTCACACACACACACACACACACACACACACACACACACACACACACACACACACACACACACACACACACACACACACACACACACACACACGCACACATGATTTTCATGTTAGTTTCGATTTGATGTCAGTGTCGCTACAGCACGCGGGAGGGGGGGCGCGGGGGGGGCTTTGAGCGGTTTGGAAGAGCAATCGGAAAGGCAGAGGGGGCACAGAGGAGGAAGCGGGGGGATGGGAGACTGGATTTACAACAGTGTCTGATCGGGCTCATGTGATGCATTCTATGAACTTTTCCTTGAACCCCTAGATCTGACCCTCAGCATGGCCGAGCATCAGCCGCTGCTGACGAGCCAGCCCATCGCCGCGCCGCAGAGCGTCTCGTATGTTTTGCAGCGAGATCTCACCATTGGGCAGTCTGGATCAGCTAGCCAAACTGAGGATGACCGGCTGCCCCCCAACAGCCGGCTGGGTGCCGACAGCGGCAACTATCGTAATTGCTTCATCATGGCAGCCAGGAAGCTCTTCTTTGCTCCCCTCTTCTGCATCGGCTACAGTTGTCGCCTTTGGGCTTGCCCGCCCCGCGTGCATGGCATCGAGCCCGAAGCCACGCTCTTGCCTCCGTCTGAACAGCGCCAGCTACTCGCCATGCTGCAAGGATCCTGGGGGCTGCGTGACGATGGCCAACCTCGCCGTCCGCGCGAAATGCACGTTTTCCCCCCTTGGTCCCATCTACATGGCCAGGCACTGGTGGAGAACGACCTCCTCATTTTCTCGGGTGGCATCATCTCCACCTTTATGGGCCGCAATCACCTGCGCGACCGCGTTGTTGGGGACTTTGTCACCCAGATCAAATTCTGGCGCAGCCCAAGTGGCACGCTGTACATGGATCGCCTCGGCTCGATCATGGACCTGAGTCGATTGACAACCGAGCATCGCATCGTCATCATCAACGCCTTTGGTGAATATTTCGAGCTCTTTCGCTGAGCGAGACTCGACCCCGCTCAAATTCGGACCGATACCGTTCTAGATGTTGGTGGTTGGCACGCATACCTGCCTTCGCCAAGACTGCCTTTGCAAATACCTTTTTTCTTGAGTGTTGTGTTGTCACCTGTGTGCTTTCCTTATGATACAAAGGCCCGGTGCTGTGCACAAAAGGCCGCCTTTCCGAATACTGCTTCCGTGTCTTGTCACCTGTGTGCTTTCTTTATGATACAACGGCTGGTGCTGGGCACCAGCTTCTCAGCTTGTTACCCCGCCCATCTCATTGATCTTGATGGTCTGGTCCTCTGAAATGTGTGCACATTAGAACAATTGCATGTGTTCTCACATTCCGAAAGTGCTCGACCCAAAGTGCGAAGAGAATTCACGATTAATTGGACGGAATCACCCCTTTCGCGTAAGGCACGCCGGGCATCGCGCGCATGGATGAGAGGGGGCCGGGACGCTCCAAATGGTGATAATATCATGAGGCAATGGCTGAACGGGCCGACTTAAATCGTGTTGTTCAGGTAAGGGATGATCATGTTGTTCTTCAGCCAGGAAAGAGTAAACTGCATGTGGTTGCTACGCATGACGGACCCAGGAGGAAAGACGACTGTCAGCGCGATAGACAGCGTACCTCGGGTACGGGCGCAGCACCATGATAAACAACCCCAATGCGAGTCAAATCAAAAGAAAACAAACCCAGGGCAGGAAGCCTCAATGAGGTCGCCGCGCTTGTCAAGCTCCTGGAGGCCGATCCAGTCTTCGGTGTAGATGCTCTGGTTGCGCATGGGCACAATCTACATCGAAAGCGTGCAACCCCGTCCGCGAAGCCGCCAAGCAAAGTGAGTGAGTCGAAGGGGGAAATTGACTTCAAACCCGGGGCAAGATCGCGGCCTTGGGCAGGACTAACCGTGCTCTCGGCGCCTTCCGCGAAAGCACCAAACCATTCGCTCTCACGAGGAATCACGGTCGTGTCTTCGGCAAACCTGAGTGCAACCATAAGCTTGAGCGAGATCGGCGTCGACCATCCCGAACCAGCGCAATTCCAGAGCAAAAAAAAATAAAAGTCAAAACGCACTTGACCAGCACCAGCTTGTTGAGAGACACCAAGTTCTCCTTGTAGGTGGCGTTCTTCTGCTCACGCTCGTTGCTACGATAAAGAGCAACGGATAATGAGGGTGAGGAATGGGCGACAAGATGCTACCGGCCTGTGCAATGCGTCCGGCCTTGGTGTACGCACTTGATGTCAGCAAGGAAGATGTTGCGCTCGCGGTAAGCCTGTTGTGCACCACATGCACCCGGGCAAATGAGCTCTCAGATGGGAGCACGGGGCAACCGGCATCGAGTTTAGTTGACCCTAGCTGCCAAGGCAAGAGTCAAGAAAACCATCAAACAAAGTTGCCCAATCACCCACCGTCATGTTATATGGGGAACGGAAGTATTGAGCTTGCACCTGCCAGTCACGAACGCCGTCGGCATAGGCGCCCAGGGTCAACAGCTTGGCGACATCCTCGCAAATGGTCATGTTGGTGGCTATAATTTTAAAGTTTTGTCACAGATGGCAAGCAAAGCCAAACGGAAAAAACGACAGGACATAAAAGGCACAAAAAGGCACGAGCGTGAGGATGGCCCTGAATTGCAAGAGGAAAATTGCTGCCATCTGCTCAATACATGTGACGATAAAGCATCGAGCGTCAAAGCGGAGGCGCCTCTTGCTTACCAACACAGTCGGGAATCTCCGCGACGCCCATGTGCTGGCCACCCATGGTAACCTATGTGTCCAGCCAAAAGTTGAGCCTGGGATGGGCAGGGTTTGGCATTTCTGGTGGGAGCGGTGGAAAACCGAACCAAATTGTGCACAGGCGGATCATTGCAGCGCTCAACGTAGGCGCGCAGAAATTGGCCGCCTTGGCTAAAGCCAATGGCGTTGAAGCCATCCGCCAGCTTGGGGTCGGCCTTGAGCTGCCACGAGTGGTGGTATGACCGGATGGTGAGAAGATGCCGGTGCAGGCAGGGTTTGATCCAGAGCAATCCTATTGCCAATCCCGTTGCTGTTTTTCGCCAACTTTCCAGTGCAAGGATCTGACTGTCATCTGCGAAGGCTTACCATGGTGCAGACCTTGTCCACCTGGGTGTTCATGTTGGCGAAAAAGTCCATAAACTCGTCTTCGATCTGGTTCTCCCCGAGCTGTCAAGGGCAAGCACAGCAACTGGCTTGAGTGGCTAGAGAGAAGAAAAGCAAAGTAGATGGGGGGGGGGGGGGGGGCACGAAACGCAGAGGTCAGTGTGTCGGGCGCTGTCTTACCATGATGCTGTTCACGTAGATTCCAGGGACAGTGGCCTCAATCTCCTTCTTGACAGCACCCATGGAGAAGGGAAGGCAGCAGGTATCACCCTGCGATCAATCAAGCACCAGATGAAAAGCGCGAAGAGATCGAACAGTGAGTCGGGCTGCGAAGGGAGATCGCAAGATCTAAACCCGCCCCTCGATCGAACCGGCATCACATACAAACACACACACACACACACACACACACACACACACACACACACACACACATCAAAAAGTAAGATCCAACATACCATGCCGTGCCAGATCACGGTCGGCCGCGGATTGGCCGCGACCAGGGCTGACAGCGCCACCGCTGCCAAAATCATCGCACGCATCATCTTCATCATCGATCTGATCACTGAGAGAGAGAGAGAGAGAGAGAGAGAGAGAGAGAGAGAGAGGACTGGGGATGAAGAAAAGTCAGAGAAGGGTAGATGTGCAAGTTGAGACTCAGAGAGTGATACAGGTGCTCATCAGACCGACATGTGTGAAGTAATGAGAATAAAGAGAAGTAAACAATTTATTGCGTTTTATCAGAGAAGTGTTCATGTTCACACACGCACACCAGAGAGATGATGTGCGATCAACAGACTCTCACATCATGTTACAGAAGTAAAATACTTTATCAACTAGAACGCGTGTGTGTGTGTGTGTGTGTGTGTGTGTGCATTTGCTTGAAGCTTTTGGCAGCGGCAGTGGCAGTGACCGTGCCCAGTGACCGTGCCCAGTGACCGTGCCCAGTGACAGTGGCAGCTTTATTGCGTGCAGTTTTGGGTAAAGTTTGGTGGTAGCGGCAGTTGTTACATCGGTGCCATGGCCACGGGAGCAGAGGTATGTGAATGAAGCCACATGTCGAGGGCAAGAGCAGGGCAGTGGCTTTTTGATGTTGTCGTCTGTGCGGGTCTCCAGGCTTCCCGGTTTGAGACGGCAGTGGCCGAAGCGCCGCGACATGATGGATCCCACCGGCTTGCGCCGCCCCGCTTGGATGACGGCGCTCAACGGGCAGAACAGGCTCATATTCGAACCGAGTGCGTGCAGTGTCACTGCGTTGCTTGAGGTTTTTTCTGAACGGAAGCAGACTTTTACATGGAAAGCGGTGCACACTCCGTTCGCCCAATGACAAACATACACTTCCCACCAAAGGGTTTGCGTCCACACAAATATGAACCACGCCGGATCAGTCATACGCGCAGTGGCGTGCCCCTTCTGTCAGGGGGGGGCCTCCAACAAACATCAGACACTGGAGCATCAGCCAGCCAACCTGCGAATTCATCGCTGTGCAACCCTCCCAGACACCACTCAAACACATGCTTCGAGTTTATCCCCAAGTCCACCTTCGAGTCATCTCAAGCCTGCGACCTGTCAACCATGAGCCATGGCTTGCTGCTCCGACCATCTTGGGATTCATGATGTCTGCCCTGTCTGCATAACCTGCCATGTCCCCCATCCTTCTCAGTCCGGCAAAAAGTCAGCGCAATCTGTTTATTGGACGCCTCGCTTATGAAGCCACCGACGCTGACCTTCGTGCCACCTTTGAACCAATTGGCAAGGTACATCTGCCTCTGCCTCACGCTCTGACAACTGAGCTGTTCAAAGGAAATTCTCTGTGGCCAACGCTTTGCCTCTCTGGCAACCTTGCGCACGCCCTTGGAACATCTCGATACTGCACTGGCCTGACACGCACCCCGCCTCTTGTTTCTCGATGCCTCGACCAATGACGTGCTGCTTTGCAAACCCATGGCGATGATCAGCTGGAACAGGTGGTGGTCCACATGGATGTGCGCACTCAGCGATCACAGGGCTTTGGTTTTGTGAAATTCGCCAACCCAGAGGATGCATTGCGGGCCCGGATCGAACTCAAGGATGCACTTATCTGTGGACGGCCCTTTGTCATGGAGCAAGCGCGGCGCTCGCGTGGCTGGTCGCCGAGCCCGGGTACCTACAAAGGACGGCGTGAAAACGATTTTACCCGACAACCGCGGAGATTCCCGTGAGTACCCAACGCTACTGCCTCTACGTCCAAGGGCGCAAAACTACCCAAAGCCGTCGAGCCCTTGCCCTGCAATGCTAGCCTGCGCCAGTGGCTCCTTGCCTCTTTGATCGTACCCTCTAGTTCATATTGTCATACCGTGTGCTGTTTTCAGTCGAGTATTCTTTGCGTTGCCCTCAGCTTCACCTTCCACCCTGCAACGACGCTTACAGAGATGACCTTCGTGACCGTGATCGGCCCCGTTTTGATGACCGCGACCGGGCCCGCTTTGATGACCGCGACCGGCCCCGCTTCGATGACCGCGATCGGCCCCGCTTCGATGACCGCGATCGACCCCGCTTCGATGACCGCGATCGGCCCCGTTTTGATGACCGTGATCGGCCCCGCTTCGATGACCGCGATCGACCCCGCTTCGATGACCGCGATCGGCCCCGTTTTGATGACCGTGATAGACCCTGGTACCCAGAACACAGACAGCCTACCACGACCGATCCATATGCAGGACAGCCTCCGCCTCGCTTGATGGAGCGACCTTCGCCAGCCCGCGTAAGCCTCCTATTTTACACCGCCTTATGTATCTGCCGGGTAGACGGAGGAGCAAGCAAAACCACACGCTGCCTGCCTCGTCTGGTGAAAAGATTCATGGTCTGATGCCGGTGACATTATCCATGCATGTAGCGAGACTTCCCAACCCCAGCCTACGACGCAGACCGCCGTGCTGATGGCCCCTCCAGGTTGGTGATTGTGTTGATATTGTACAGCTATCAAGAATTAGCGAATTAGCAAGTATCTGATGAAATTGTACATGCGTGTCGAGTCTGACCGTTGCGATGTGCCACGCTTTTCAGGGCGTACGACCAGCGCATAGCCCCACCCCCGCCAGAGGCACGCCAGGCGTTTGACCGCTACGGATCATCCACCTATGCCAGCGATAGTAGCCGCAGCCGTGAGCCGTTGTCATCCAGCACTGCCTACGTGCCGCCTCAAGCAGACTATGCCAGTGGCCAAGTCCGTCCGTCTCACTCCAACTATACCCGTGATGCCCCACCTCCACGAGAGATGCACACCTCAACTTACAGCCACGACCAGCCGCACTATATGCACGATGCCTACCGTCGCGAACCGATGGCTCCGCCCTCGCGCACTGGGGAGCTGCGCGACCCTTTACCCCGAGAACGTGATGCGCAATATCGGAGGGCGCCATCGCCTCGTCAAGAAGCTTACGAGCGCCCTGTTCCTCGCGGCTACGAGCGTGAGCACACTCGAGCAGCCCCAGCTACCGGCCTCGACTATGTGGGTGTCGCCCCACCCCCGACGCGTGATTATGTGCGGGCCGCCCCACCCCCACAGCGAGACCATGCTCGCTACTGAGGCTTGGAGCATTGACCTGCTCCGAGTCGCCTTGCAACGCAGACTCGAATTCACTTTCTTGGTTGACGTTTTCTCCCGTGCCTCCACACGCGTCACAGCTCATCTGTGCAAGGGTCATGCAGACACACAGGAGCACAATCCGTGCTGCTCTTCAGTGTCCAGATTCTAGTCTTTGAAAGTCAAATTTCCCCAAATTCGATCATCATGGAGCCTGATTCAGCCCGATGGCAGCCAGAGACTAGACATGTAGCTAAAAAGAACGTAAATGCTCAATCAAAGATGAAGAGGGCGCGGGACTTGGCAGACGCAATTGTTAAGAGTATTGAGCGAGGAAGAAGACGCTTGAGCTAAGCTGTAGTAGCGGCGACTGCATGAAAATCGACTCACAGTTTGGATTTGCCGCGAACATTTTCTCATCCTCTTGTTTTTTGGAATGGTAGACAATGACTCTCTTGACTTGAAATTCTGTCGACTTCCTTATGGCAACCATCGATTGTGCTCCCCCACCCCCACTCACACACACACGCACGCGCACACGCACTCACACACATACTTCAATCCTATCCTCCTCAGCCCGCCCAACAGTCAAACGACCGGAAATAATCATCATAATCACATGAAAACTCAACGAAAAGTTAAAAAAATCTCTCTCTCTCTCTCTCTCTCTCTCTCACTCACTCATGAAGCTGGAGCCCTTTTTTGTGGTTTTTGGGGCTGGACTGCAATGTCCCATTGCTGCTTCATCTTGGGTCGCAATTTTTGATGCCTTGGCGCTGTGAGTGCGGTCAAGCACAGCCTGCTGAGCTGATTGCATGCAGGGTACTTGGGGTAAACACAGGTTGATTGCTCGTGGGGGGCATTTATTCTCAAAGCAATCACAGAGCGTCTGTTGTGCTCGAGCATTTTGCTGCATCAGATCGAAAGTTGGACCAAGGACACTTCAGAGGCGACCTCAGACATCGCGATGCAGGGGTGGCGGCAGTGCCTTGTTCAAGGCGGCTCTCGGGGTATCGGGTTGGAGTTTGTCAAACGTCTTTTGGCCTTGTCTCATGTGGACACGGTCGTTGCGACCTGCCGACGTCCCGATGAGAGTGAGGATTTGCAAGAGCTGCAGCGGCAAAACTCTGACCGCCTCCACCTCTACCCTTTGGATTTGACCAGTGCTGCCAGCATCAAGACAGCTGGCGAGACCATTCGCGGTGAGCATCAGGCGCCGTTCCACCTGGTCCTCAACTGTGCAGGCTTCTTGCATTCAGCAGCAGACCGGCACTTGCCAGAAAAGTCCCTCCCAGAGCTTGACTATCAGTTCATGTTGCGCAACTTCCAGGTTTGATCAAACCCTGTCCTCTCGTACCCCGTCTGATGTTGCTGCAGAGCCGTTTCCACAATGTGCCTCAACACGCTCATCTTATGTGTGCGCTCTCTGCTCTGGATAGATCAATGCTTTCGGTCCGATTCTCATGGCCCAGGAACTGGCACCGTATGTGATATGACGTTGGGCCTCGTCTCATCTATCAGCCGTTCTGGGCTTCCTTCTCGTTCAGAAGTCAATTGATAGGATGCCGGAAATGATTCCCCACTCACCGGCCCTGCTTGCGTCTAGTTTACTCAAGCACGACGAACACGCCATTTTGGCCTCCATCTCTGCTCGCATTGGCTCCATCTCTGACAACCGTCTGGGTGGCTGGTATTCTTGTGCGTTGGACAACTGGTGATCGCGAGTGCTGCTCGTGTGGCCCAGTACCACTCTGATCCCGCGGAAAAACACTTGCCTCACGTCCTTGGTTTCTTGCCCTGCCAATTCTCTCCATGACCACCACAGACAGGGCCTCCAAGGCGGCGCAGAATCAGTTTGCCGTGACATTGAGCCACGAATTTCGTCGGACTCACCCGAATGTTACGGTCCTTCAAATGCACCCTGGTACAGTCGCCACCGACCTTTCCAAGCCATTCCAGGTGAGATTGTGCTTGCAGCCGCTCAAACGACGTATCATGTTTCGCGACAACAGTCCGTTGATCTTGTCGCCGACTTGCATGCTTTTCCCGCCAGAGCAACGTCAAGTCGGAAAAACTCTTCACAACAGAATTTGCTGTTGGACAACTACTGAGCAACGTTCTCAACCGTGCAGAAGATCCCAAAGAGTTTTCTGGTCGCTTTTATGCCTGGTCAGTTTTGTGATCATGCCACCGGGTGCTTTGTTTCAAACGTGCTGCCATTTGCAAACCTCGGTTCATGCTCAAGACCGATGCACCAACGTTGCACGTGACAGGGACGGTTCGGAGATCCCATGGTAAGATGGAGCAAGGTGGCTTGCATCAACTGTGGAAAAGCAATCTACCATACAATCGAATTAATAAAACTTCTGGAGCAGACGACATGGCATTCTTTGACGCAGAGTCTCAAAAGAAATTTCGGGCAGCCGCGCAGTGCCACACGTGCAAAGACAAGAGGAACTACCACAAAAGCAATGCCAGAAACAGTGCCAAGCCACATCTTTCAGTCGCTCATGAAAGCCATGAGAAGCAGAAGAGGACAAGACAGCAAGGTGGGCCTCAAGCACACAACAAGCGCGTTGCAGCAAGTCAGCAAGCAAACAACCAGCCATGACCACACGCGCGTATCCTAAAAGAGAAACAAAAAGTGCCAACGAAACGCGACCAAAGTAGCAATACAAGAACCAGACACGGAAAAGAAAGCAAGGTGGCGCACAAGCACAGAAAGCACAGCAATAACGCCAAAGAAGCAAGAAACAAAAATCCAAGAGACACAGACACACACAAAAACAAATAAACAAACAAAGGAACAAAGAAGGTCATCGCCACAAGTAGATCAGAGATTTGGGGTTCATGCCGTTGACTTGTTCGTGGACAAGTGTGTGGCTCCGAGTTGAGCTTCAAGTGCCTCCAGCTCTTGAGACACGGCAAGGTCCTGCTCCTTCAATTCGCGCACTTCAGCCGCCAGCCTTGCGAGGGGCGGCAGCTCCCAGTAACTGCGCCAGCAGTAAAGGTTGCGCCAAAGGACGATGGCTTGAGGTCGTGGGGAAGGACAGATTGTTCCCTTGTTTACAGCGGCATCGTAGAGTGGGTTGGCAAACCGCGGCCTTTGTTCTGGCTGTGGGCGGGTATGGGCGCACCAAATATGTTGGTCACTCGTGAGGACAGGTGCCAGGCTTCGGGTACGTCTCTTGATTTGCGCGGCGTTCTCAGCAAAGGCGGACACGGTGCGTGCAGACATTGCGCAAAATCTCACCGAGAGGGCATGGCGCCAAAAGCAACGAGTCTTCTTGTCCAATTGCTCAGCAGCTCGCATGGCCTCACAGTCCCCGACGAATGTGCCTGTTATTGTCATACGGAACAGCAGGTGAGGTCCACCGGAAACGTTAGCAAAAACAGCTAAAGTCAGCGCACGCTTACCGAAAACACAGCTGTATGACTGCATATACAGCTCCATCAAGAAGCTCTCATTAAACTCGAAAGCGGCGCAAAATTGAAAGTAGCTCTGTTGGTATCGAGGCCAAGCAGCGAGCGATTGTGAGGAACAGCGCTAGGCGTAGCGAGTGGACGGATATGTTGCACCACGCGAAGCAAACCTGATAAACACAATCGAGAAAGAGCAAAAAAACCGGGGCACGTTCGGTTTTGTTGTGGCGTGTCAACGGTGACCAACGCGATGCGAATGGGTGGCCGGCATGTAGCCACTCCTTCTCCACTAGTTTGCAAAAGCTAGTATACATCATGGCGACAGGCCCAAATATAAAAAAGCAGGGCACGACAAGGACTGATTAGCAAAGTCGTGAACCATGGCATGCTTCCAGATCTCAAGCGCGCACTCGAGATCTGTTCCTGTTCCTGACGCTTGGACGCACCCTTCCAAGGTTCGAAAGTATGGGTCCATGTACAATTGAGCCAGGGCCACGACAATGCAGGTGATGTCGGTTCCATGTGATCCGTGGACCACGACAGGTTGCTGTTCGTGCTCCAAGCAGGTGACAGCTTGAAGGGCCGCGGACAGTGCATCGCGCACCGTGCTCAGCCAATTGCTCGCGTTCAACTGTGGAAGAATTCGAAATGAAACACCATGAGCCAGGGAAGGCACGGCAAGGCTGAGTAGTGGAGGGGGGCATCTGACCTTTTCCAAAAACTTGCTGGCGTCTAGCGAGGGATCCTGACACGCTTCCAGCAGCTTGGAGAGGGAATCAGCAAGGATGGGCCAGGCTGCAATGTCAAGCATTTTCCGACTCCATCCGTAGTACTTGTCAATTACTTCGAGACCACCACCCTATTCATTGCACCATGAAGTGCGGTTAAGAAAATTGGGAATGGGGCATTGCATGCACTGGGCCAAATTGGCGGCGAAATAGCTCGAGCAAGAAACATGAGAACACCCCCCCCCCCCATGCAAAGAGTAACAGTCACCTTGCTGCGGTGGGTGCTCGCGACACTCGATGTACGGGTGTCTAAGATGAGGCCTTGTTTGACGTCGGCCGTGCTGAGCACCATGCGCAGCATCTGTTCATCCTCGTACTTGCGCTTGCCGCTGGAGCCTGCCAGGGGTTGTCCTGAACGCAGCAAAGGCATCTAGCCAAGAGCAACCACGGGCAAGGGCGGCGTCAGCTTCAGGAAATTTTGGAGCTGGTTGAGGCGGGAAGTGGGATCAGTGTGTGGAGGCGAACCTTGGTTTTTGGATGAAGGAAGCAAAGCATGGGAAATCGACCATTCTGGCGATATTTGGAGACGCTTCTTGAGAACATCATCGT